GAAGTGAGGTCAAAGAGAGAAAGGCCGTCTGCTCTGTCGCACTGTAAGAACAGCTGCATGTCGTCGACCCAGACCTCAAAGTCAATGGCGCGACCTTCAGCGTCAAAAGCTAGGACACTAGGGGTAGCCATGACAGCAGTAGAAGGTCTCACCAGACAAGACGGGTCGGGCAGCGCAGTAGCACAGCAGTACAGCAACACAGCAGCTCAACCGGCTCAGTAGCAACAGCAGCTACGCAGGACCAGCGGCTCGGCTCCTCAGGCGGTGCAGGCGGCTCGGGCGGCGAGGGCGGCTCGGGCGGCTCGGGCGGCTCGGGCGGCGCGGGCGGCTCGCGCGGCTCGGGCTGTCAGCGACACAGGGCGGCCCGGGGCTGGGACGGGCGGCGCGCGGGCGATGAGGGGCCGGGACGGGCGGCGCGCGGGCGTCGAGAGGCCGGGACGGGCGGCCAGCAGGCGGCTAGGGGCCGGGGCGGCGGCGCGCGGGCGTCGAGGGGCCGGGACGGGCGGCCAGCGGGCGGCTAGGGGCCGGGACGGCGGCGCGCTGGCGTCGAGGGGGCCGGGACGGGCGGCCAGCGGGCGGCTAGGGGCCGGGACGGGCGGCCAGCAGGCGGCTAGGGGCCGGGACGGGCGGCCAGCGGGCGGCTAGGGGCCGGGACGGGCGGCGCGCGGGCGATCAGGGGCCGGGACGGGCGGCGCGCGGGCGTCGAGAGGCCGGGACGGGCGGCCAGCGGGCGGCTAGGGGCCGGGACGGGCGGCCAGCGGGCGGCTAGGGGCCGGGACAGGCGGCGCGCGGGCGGCTAAGGGCCGGGACGGGCGGCGCGTGGGCGGCTAGAGGCCTGAACGGGTGCGCGCGGGCGGCTAAGGGCCTGAACGGGTGGCGCGTGGGTGGCTAGGGGCCGGGACGGGCGGCGCTTGGGCGGCTAGGGGCGTAAACAGGCGCGCGCGGGCGGCTAGGGGCCTGAACGGGCGGCGCGTGGGCGGCTAGGGGCCGGGACGGGCGGCGCGTGGGCGGCTAGGGGCCTGAACGGGCGCGCGCAGGTGGCTAGGGGCCGCAGGGCAGGCCGAAAAAAAAGTGAAAGCGAGGGCCCGGAGCGCGCTCCGGGTAGAGAAAAAAAAGGTTTAAAGGTGGTGGGCCCTAAGCACAGTTCCCACGGGGGAACCTGCTCGATACCATGTTGAGAATAGAACGAGAATGAATGACCTATGAATGAAGTGAGTACAAATAGGAAACCCTAACTGGTTGTACCCCCTATGGGATACCCCACTACAGCCTACACAATAGTATAAGCTATATATATGTTCTGACACGAATCTGATGGCTCAGGATTTTTTCGGGCACGATGATCAGCTCTGATGCAGGGCGAGTCATGGATGGCGGGCGGTGGCGAGGCAGTTGGCTTGTGGTTGGGATGTAGGGGCGAAGCAAGTTGATGTGAAACGAAGGACTGATGTACCAGTCGGTCGGTAACAGTAGGTGTGCGGTTACTGGCGTGATCATGTGGTTGATTTGGAATGGACCACAGTAGCGCGATCGAAGTTTTGGTATGTCGGGCATTCGCAGATTTTGCGTGTTGAGCAGTTCGTAATCCCCTGACTGGTATGTGACTGGGCGGCGGTGGCGGTCAGCGTTGCGCTTAGCAATGACGTTTGCTTTTTTAATTGCTTCTACGGCTCTGGTGCGGGCAGCTTGCAGAATTTCGGCAAATTGTTGTGCACGTGGTGTTGGGTTGTCCGGACTCGGCGTCATGGGCACTGTAGGGTTCTGCCCGTAGTTCAGGTAGAAGGGGGACTGCTGCGTCGTCGCTGACGTGGCATTATTGTACGCGAACTCGATCAGCGGCAGCTGCTGCTCCCAGGTCGTGGGGTCGTCGCATGTGGCACGAAAAAACTGCTCCATCGTCTGATTCGTCCACTCCGTTTGACCGTCGGTCTCGGGGTGGTACGACGAACTGAACTGTAGCCTGGTCCCGAACTGCTCCCAAAGGTTCTTCCAGAAGTTGCTGGTGAACTTTGTGTCCCTATCGCTGATAATTGCTGCTGGTATCCCGTGCAGGCGAACAACGGCTGCGATGAACAGACGAGCGGTTTCCTCGGCTGAGATCGACTTTTTGCACGCAGCGAAGTGTGCCATCTTCGTCAACCTGTCAACGACGACCATCACCGCGTCATTACCCCCAGGGTTCGAAGGTAACCCTGTGACAAAGTCCATGGTGACCTGCTGCCAGGCGCGCTCGGGCGGTGGTATCGGCTGCAATTGACCCGCCTTCCGCTTCCTTGAGCTCTTCATCACCTGACACGTGGGGCACGAGCCCACGTGCTGCTGCACGTCGGTCAACAGCTCCGACCAGTAGTAATACCGCTGCAGTTGCTGTCGCGTTTTTTCTATCCCAAAATGTCCCGAGGTAATTCCGTCGTATGCCTCCTGCAATAGCAGCTCCCTGAGTAGTGAGTACGCGGGTACCCAGATGCGGTTGGTGCCTGTTTTTACTTACTTAACTCCTTCAGCTTCTGCCAGTTGCTGTGAGTTTCCAGTCTTGAAAAATGGGTCGGTGCGGTATCCGTGGGTGAATAGGCATGTTAAAAGCGGGTTGGTCTGGGCGAGTAGGATGGCGTGGAGTTGGGCGGTAGGGCGGGTGAGTGCGTCGGCGATGTTGGATGCGCCTTTCTTGTACGTAACCGTATAGTGGAAGTTGGACTCGAGGTAGTCCAACCAGCGAATCTGTCATGGATTGAGATTCGGTTGGGCGCGTAAGTACTGTAGTGATCGGTGGTCTGTCCGTACTGTCACATCGGCGCCAGCCAGGTAACACCGCCAAACCTTGAACGCGTGCACGATCGCCAACATTTCGCGGTCGTGTATCGGGTAGTCGCGTTCGGGCGGGTGCAACTTGCGGGACTCATACGCGATTGGTTGGAGGCCGTTCCCGAAATCCTGCAACAGTACTGCTCCCACAGCGATGTCACTTGCGTCAGTGACGAGCTCGAACGGACGGTGTGAGTCTGCGATGTGCAGCACGGGCGGTGAGCACAAAATGTTTTTGAGGGCCGAGATGGCAGCTTGCTCTTTCTCCCCCCACGTGTACTCAACCCCCTTCCTCAGCAGGTCTGTCAACGGGGCAGTCAGCTTCGCCATGTCGGGGACGAACCGGCGCACGTAGTTGACGAACCCCAAAAAACTCTGCAACTTGGTCAAGTTGGCCGGCGCGTGCCATGCTTGAATCGTCGCGATTTTCTTCGGGTCTATTTCCACTCCTGTAGCTGAAATAACGTGTCCCAAAAACTCTAGGCGGTCTTGTAAAAACTCACACTTTGACGCTTTTGTCAGTAGGCGGTTTTCACTCAGTATTTTCAAAACTGCTTCGATGTCCTGTAGGTGTTGTGCTCTGTCAGGGCTGTGAATCAGTATGTCGTCCAGGTAGACTATGACGCACTTATCTAAGAGCGGGCGGAAAGCTTCGTTCATGGTCATTTGGAGAGTGGCGGGGGCGTTGGTCAGTTGGAAGGGCATGACGGTATATTCGAAGGATCCGTAGCGTGTGCGAAATGCGGTCTTAGGGCAGTCGGGCGGGTTGACGCGAATCTGGTGGTAACCCCCTCGAAGGTCGATTTTCGAGAAAACCCGGGTTGTGCGCAGTTGGTCGATCAGTTCGTCGGCTCGCGGGATGGGGTAACGGGATTTGATGGTAGCCCTGTTCAGTGCTCTGTAGTCTATACACATGCGAAATCCCCCGTCTTTTTTCGGTGTGAACAATATCGGTGCTGCGAAAGGCGACGAACTAGGGCGAATGAACTCCTTCTCGAGCAGGTAATCGAGCTGCTTCCTCAGTTCGTCCAGTTCGGGCTGGGTCAATCGGAACTGCCGATGTATTGTTGGCTGTGCCCCCAGTTCTAGTTCTATCCTATGGTCGTGGTGCATGCCAGGTGCATTGGCGTGGTGTGGGTTACTAACCCAGACTCGCCAACACACATGCCCAGCCGCAAGAGCGCATCCAGCTGCAGGAGCAAAGGAGGGGGCATGGGGAAATGTAAGTATGGGAGCGGAGGCACGCCCCACCCTGCACGACCATGCGCGGGAGTACCTTATGGCTGCAGCGAGGGAGCAAGTGGGAGCCTGTTAAACCATGAGCGATGGTGCGAGGAGTGCAAGGGAGCGCAAGGGAGTACAAGGGAGTGCAAGGGAGTGCAAGGGAGTGCAAGGGAATGCAAGGGAGTGCAAAGGAGTGCAAGGAAGTGCAAGGGAGTGCAAGGGAGTGCAAGGAAGTGCAAGGGAGTGCAAGGATTCAGTGCACTCTCCACCCCCGCATGCCCAAGCACAGAGGCGTCTACAGCAGGCGGCAAGTGGTTCGGGTGAGATGCAGGCGAAGCGACGCTGAGGGGCAAGTAGAAGAATGTGTGACACCATGATGCATGTAGAAGCATCTTGAGTTAGGGTTATGTTGATGGGGGGGTGTGCGATCAGGTGGGGGAGCGATAGTGTGCTGTGTACATAGCAGAATTGTGGAAGTGAAATAGAGAGAGCAATCAATAAAATAGGCATTTTGATGAGATGAAGAGGGGGACGTCAGGAGAGCAGGAGTGGCCAGGGAGAGGAGAAGCAAAACAGAGAAGACAAAGAAGAAGAGCGACATGTGCTGATGAATGTGAAATCTCACCACAAGTTTATCCCCATTGCGAGCAGCCTAGTGCAGAACCGTCCATCCCTACTTATCCCGGACGTCAGGCAGCTCACTAGGGTCACCAACACCCCATGCGGGCAACATGCGCTTCAGCTCCTCCACATCCTCACTCGATAGACGGAACCCGTCCCTGCTTGCTGATCCACGCACAATTTCACTCAACAACCCTTGTTCATTCTCTCTCGCCTCCCTCGCCCTTGAGGCTCTCCTCCACACGAATATTTTGATCCTTGCGAGCAGCTCCTTGGGGTGGGGACCGCATGCATTCGCATGGGAGCAGGGGCAGTAGGGGCAGCGGTGGTTGAGCGGGGATGGGCGAAACTCCATGGCAGGAGGTGCCGAGGAGCGGGGTGCAGAAGAGGGGGATGGAAAGGAAGGAGGAGGAGAGGAGGGGGGAGCAGAGGAGGGAGAAGAGGAGGAGGGAGCGGAGGAGGGGATTGCAGTAAAGGGGGTTGCAGAGGAGGGGGCTGCAGTGAAGGGGGTTGCAGAGGAGGGGGCTGCAGTAAAGAGGGTTGCAGAGGAGGGGGCTGCAGTATCAGCAGCAAGATCGAAATCACTGGCAGTGGCAGCAAGAGAGCAATGGGATGACGAGCAGTCAGAATAGGCGATGCGGAGGAGAGTGAGCGGTTGAAATTGAAGGGCTCGCGGTGTGGTCTTGTCTGCTGGTGATGAGTGTGGGGTCGATGACGGAGACTGGGGCTGTGTGTGCCATCCTGGACGTGCTGCCACTCGCTGTGCTGCTGGCGGCGAGTGAGGCTGAAGCTCCGATGGTGCTTGCGGCAGTGTGGATCGGCGGCACACTGCGAGGGGCTGGCAGAGGTAATGCTCCCACGCACCGAGTGAGAGCAGATGGGAGCACAGGTGATGGACGGCAAGGATGGGATGGGATGGGACAGAGCAGCGGCGACAACGAAATGAGAGAGATCATTGTGAAAACAAAGAACGAGAATGGAATGACTATGAACGAAGAGAGTACAAATAGGAAACCCTAATTGGGTTGTACCCCCTATGGGATACCCCACTATAGCCTACAGAAACAAGTAAGCTATAAGTTCTGACACACCCCCATAGGCAAAGTGGGGGAGAACAAGGGGTCACAAGACCAGTCAAGCAAAGTAAAGCAAAGCTCAGGGTGGATCACAAAGTCACCACGCATTCCGAGCACAAGTTCAAAGGCCACAAGGCCAGTTCACATGCAAGATCATATATAGAGATATACAAGAGCAAGAGTATATATATGCGAAAGTACAAGCAAGGTCAAGAGGAGAGCAAGTGAGGCAAGACAGGCACAAGACCCAACTGCGTGCAGCAACGCTGATGATCACAAGGCGCAAGTGCCTTGGTGAAGACATCAGCAGTGTTGGCCTCAGAGGCCACGTACGCAAGTCGCAGCTGTCCACGCTGCTGTAGCTCACGAGCAAGAAAGTAGCGAAGAGCAATGTGCTTCGTTCTGTGCTCCAGTCGCTGCTCTCGACACAAGGCCAGCATGGCCTTGTTGTCTACGTACAGGACTGGAGGAGAACGAGGCTGCTCTCCAAGGTCGGTCAGCAGGTAGGTGAGCCAGCGTAACTCCTGTGCAGCCATAGCCCCAGCGTAGATCTCAGCCTCACAACTGGAGCCGAGAACAGAAGACGAGCGGGTAGCCCGCCACGAGACAGAGCCGGAACCAAGGCTGAAGGTGTAACCCTGTGACGACCGCTGCGTAGCCTGGTCGTCAGCCCAAGAAGCGTCTGCGTGCCCAGTGAGGACCACTGGACTGCGCCCTCCAAGCACTAGCCCCATGCCCGACGTACTGCACAAGTAGCGCAACACCCTCTTTGCTGCAGCCATGTGCTCTGGTCGGTGTCTCCCAGGAGCAACAAAGCGTGCGAGAATGCTAAGAGGGTATGCGAGGTCAGGTCGTGTGCAGGTCATCAAGTACATGAGGCAGCCAACAAGCTCTGCAAACGGGCCACTCGACTCTACGGAGAGTGGTCATCTTCGGGGTGGGGGAGAAGGTCTGAAAGTAGTCAACCCCCTGCCGCTGACTGAAGCCACGAGCCACGTAACGCGCCTTGAAGACAGGCGGAGAACCCGGCGGCCGCTTCACCCTGAAAATCCACATGCCACTGACGATGTTCGCCCCAGGAGGGGGAACAGCGTCAACGTAGGTGCCTGTGGACTTCCAGGAAGCCATCTCTGCATCCATAGCTGCCTGCCACTGAGAGGAGTAGGGACCCTCTATCGCCTCCGCGTAAGAGCGCGGAGTCGGGATGTCTGGTGCATCCGGGTCTCCCTCAGGGGCTAGCAGTACAGACGCGAGACGAGGTGAAGCGGCGGCCAGACACTGGAACTCCTCCTGCCTGTCCTCAAGGACGTCCGTGCCAAGGGCACACTCACCCCCGACGGACGGAGGACAGGCGGACGCAGACTCAGTGACAAGACGAGCAGCGTAGTCTAGACGACAGCGCGCAGCAAAGTCGACAAGCTCAGTGACAAGGGGAGACGCAGCAGACGACTCGAAGGAGGGGTCAGTGACAGCAGTAGCCAGGAGACGCGTGACAGTAGGACTGGCAGCACGAAGAGCGTCCGACTCCGGGTCGGCAAGAGCAGGAAGAGAGGAAGCAGGAGGAGAAGGCAAAGGGGCACGCAGAGGAGCAGTGGACGGACGCAGTGACATCCGGTGCGTGCCAGGGACAGGAGGAGGACGCTGACGCGAGCCGCGACCACTAGCGCGCTCAGTACGAACAGGCGACACAGGACGAGACGCAGGCTCACGACGCTCAGTAAGACCTCCAGTCGGACCAGCGTAGGGAGAAGGAGCAGGAAAAGGGGAGGCAGGCTGTAGCTGTGGCTGTGACCGGACAGGCTGCGGACCCTCTAAGGGAGGAGGAGGAGGTGTAAGACCAAGAACCTGCTGCAGGAGCGGAACGAAGTACGGTCGGGGCCGCGCGGCGACGCTAGAAACAGCAGGAACAGCACCAACAGCCCCGGCAGGAGCACCCACTCCAGCAGCACCTCCAGCAGCACCACCAGAAGCTCCAGAACCTCCAGCCGCAGCACCAGGAGCACTGTCAGTCGTGCCGCCAACGGCAGGCTCAGCGCCAACACCCTCAGCAGGACCAGCTCCAGGAGAACTCTCAGACTCAGCAGCTCCAGCACCCACAGTACGAGCGCCGGCGGGGCGCGCAGCAGCAGTACCCTCTGCACCAGCAGCACGCCTCCAGCGCCCGGCAAACCACTCACGCAGCTCCTGTGGGGAGAGTGGCTCCCGGCGAGACGAAGCACCCCCAGGCACAGCACCTCCAGGCTCAGCACCCCTAGACACAGCACCCCCAGGCTCAGCACCCCCAGGCACAGCACCCCCAGGCACAGCACCTCCAGGCTCAGCACCCCCAGGCACAGCACCCCCAGGCTCAGCACCCCCAGGCTCAGCACCCCCAGACTCGGCACCTCCAGGCTCAGCACCCCCAGACTTCGCACCCCCAGGCTCAGCTCCCGCAGCAGCACCAGAGTCACCAGTGACCTCGACAGGCTCGACCGCGTCTACCTGGGACACACCTGAAGGGGCAGGACCCTGAGGGGGGAGGGGGACTACCGGAGGGGGACCTGGTACCAAGAAGAGCGGGGGTGGGGGGAGGGACGGAGTGCGGTAGGGGAAGAGGCGGTAGTAGGGTACCGACTCGTCGAACGTGACGTCCTGGGAGGACAGAACACGTCGAGAGGTGGGGTGGTAAAACTGCCACCCAGGGGCGTCGGGGGGGAACCCCAGGAAGACGCAGGGAGAAGCACGAGGGGACAGCTTGTCCGCAGACAGGTCGCGAACAAACGCCCGAGATCCCCAGACCCGGAACGCCGACGCATCGCCAACCTTCCCAGTCCACAGCAGGGCTGGGGAGGTCTCCGGTCGAGAGACCCTGGGGTGGAGGTTGATCTGGTGCGCAGCGTACCTGACCGCAAACGGCCACAGAAAATGGGGAGCAGCCGCACGCATCATGGACGTACGAGCGACGTCCATGACCATGCCAATGCGGCGCTCAGCAATCCCATTCTGCTGCGGTGAGTCTGGAAGCGTGAAGGTCTGACGGATGCCTCGCGCACGACAGTAGGCACTCAGGAGGCCAGAGGAGAACTCTCCGCCTCTGTCCGAGTGCAGACGCAAAACAGGGAAGTCAGAGCCAAAGCTCCTCCGAAGCTGGAGACGAGCTGCGCGGATCCAGTCGATCAACACCGCAGTGACCTCACCCTTGCTGCGCAAGGGGAAGACTGTGGTGTAACGCGAGTAGTCGTCAACCACCAGCAGGAAGTAGCGCTCCTGACCCTGTCCACGGACGCGGGCTGGGCCCCACACATCCATGTGAAGCGTCTGCAACGGGGCCTCTGTTGGAGGAAACTGGGAGGAGTGAGGGGCAGCACGCTGGCGCCCCTCGACACAGGGGACACAGGTGGGGCCAGGGCCCGGAGGGAGGGGAGGGAGAGACCGGGGAAGACCAGACACAAGGACTCGCGAGGCCATGCCTCTGAGCCGAAGCAGAGAGGGGTGGCCAAGGCGGTGGTGCCAGAGGAGGGTCTCGTGAGACAGACGACGGCACGAGCAGGGGGCAGACTCAGGACCAGACCTGGACGCTGCAGCAAACACCTGACCAGACGAAGTGACCCTACCAGACTCAGCACCTGGAGGAGAAGCAGTGGTCAGAGTGTACAGGCTCGACCCTGGCCGACGTGTAAACGTAGCCAGGTGGCGACCTGTATCCGCCTCCGTGCAGTGGGTCACCCGCTGACGAGCAGGGGTGAACTGGTGGACACCCGCATCCTGGAGGTCAGCACCACTCACCAAGTTCGTCGAGAACGAGGGGAGGTAAAGACCAGTCAGGGTGCCAGAGGGGGCCGCCGGACACGGGAGGACAGTGGAGAAGCGAGACAGGACAGGCCCCCCAGAGGGGTCAGCCAGGGACACCGCAACCGGCCGACTCAGCGGCGTGAGAGTGGTGCGGTCCCGAAAGAAGGAGCGAGACGCTCCAGAGTCAAGGGTGAAGGTGTGGGAGGCCGAAGCCGACACAGTACCTGAGAGGGCAGACTCACCAGCACCTGAGAGCACAGACGCACTGGCACCTAGAGCAGCAGCCTCACTAGTACCTGACGCGGCAGTACCAATGCCCGGGTCGGGCGGGAAACACCGGTAACAGTCATCCTCATCACTACCAATCGCAGCATACATAGCAGAGAGAATAGCATCAAAATCAAGATCATAAATAGCTACACCAGCCCTAGACAGCTCTCCCCAGCGGGGGATCTCAGCTGCCTCCGGAAACTGCTGACGCCAGGCGTCAGTCAGGCGGCCAAAGCAGCGGCGGGCAGTGTGGGCGCCTCCACACCTCTCCCCTGCACGGTCACTGGTGCGGAGAACGTAGGGGCAAGGACCAAGCGCACCACCACGCTGACGCTGCGAGTACCACTCACGGAGCTGCTGAGGGGCGGGGACGGTGCGAGAGCGCTGCTGGTGCTGTGGCTGCTGCTGCGGCTGCTGCTGCTGCTGCTGCTGGCGCTGACCACCCCCGGAGCTGCTCCGCTGAGACGAGCCACTCCGACCCCCGCCTCCACTGCCACCCCCGCCTCCACCGCCACCCCCGTCTCCACCTCCACCTCCCCCACCAGGACCGTCGCTCCCACCGCTCCCACCGCCTCCTCCGCTACCACCTCCGCCGTCACCTCCGCCTCCACCGCCGCCACCAGTACCTCCACTCCCGCCACCACCCCCACCGCCACCCCCACTCCCCCCGCCACCCCCACCGCCTCCTCCACCGCCCCCTCTAGCTCCACCCGCTCCCTTGCCCCCCTTGCCCTTGCCAGCGCGACGTCTGCCGCTGGGGGCAGACGCCGCGCCGACCGACTCAAAACCAGTGAGGTCGGCCGCAGCGGCAGAGGCGACAGAGGGCAGC